GCCTATCTGGCCTGCAGGATGAGAAAGCCCGAGCCCGCCGATTCTTGGGACAGAGAGGATTTGGGGTTGAGGTTTTTCCATGGTGTTATGCTTTAGCCTGGTAAGGTTGTTTCGATCAGGGTTTCGGGCTTTTGGCCGCAGGTTTTGTGGTGTTAAGGTTCAGGTAGTTTGCAGGGCTAGGTGCTTCGATGATTCCACTTATGGGTTCAGGACTGCTTCCGGAAACTCTCAAGGCCTCAACGGGTGAAGGGCATAGATTGCGTTGCCAGTACAAGGCAGCGTAAGGGATGTGCGCCTTTCGTCGTGTATTGAAAGGTTTCGAAAGCAGTCTCAAGTGGAACTCAGCCGCCCACTGGTCAGGCCGTGGGCCCCAACCACCTTCACCACGGCGCTGATCAGGAGGCCCTGAGAGGGAGAAGTCGCAGGCGGGCCCAAGTCCAGAAGCACTTTGTGAGAAGTGTGCTGCCCAGTTGATGTCTGACATGCCGAACTGCTCGGGAACCGAAAATCACGAGAAGCTTCGTCCCGTTGCTACTCTGCTTTGCCTCTCGTGCAGTCACGATTGTAAAACAACACCTATTCGAACACCTCATGGGTCCATATTTCGACTCGGAACTGGTAAGAACTCAACACCGAAGGCCACACCCGGCCGGGCTTTGCGCCCAGGAGCCAGAGTCTCACGCCCAGATTGTCTGCCTCATCTCGGAAGCAAGCACGGGGATCTAACCGCAGAATGCTTGGCAGTGTTGGCGATGACGTGTCGCATAGCTCTACACTTGAAACTTCCATTACCTACCTTCGCACTTCCTTACTTACTTCTCTTCGTACGTACCTACCACGACCCTCCACACCTCTTCCCAGTGGAAACTCCATACATCGGGATTGAGCTTCCAGCGGTCATCTATAAGAAGGGCTCGAAAAGCTGGCTGCACCTGCAGATTTCCTTTTGTGTTGCTGCTTTACTTTCAGACGGACTCCACGAGAATGCCAGACCCATTCACAAAACCGGTTCTTTGCCTTTTTGGCCCTCCATGCCACACGTGTGCAGCACTTCTAACCTCGTTGTTGGCGCACTGTCCGGGTCGGCAACAAGGTCATGGAACGAAGTGATAACCGAAGTTTGTTAGCCACATATTATTTTGTCAGTGTGGCCAGTGCAGCCGGACTACACATTCGCACCCAAAGACATAACTCGAGATGTACTGGTTGCCACGTTCACGCCGACACATTAAAATGCTCCCGGGGTTGCCCCGTCGAGCTCAAGGTGCTTTCTCATATTAAGGCACGATTTTGCCGCCTCCAAGCGCTTGGAGCTCGTTCGATCCAACGGATTTCAACAAAGCGACTGCGGCAGCTTTCATCGCTGAGCAATGTATGACATAAACATATAGATAATATACATATATACATACACATATTAACCCCTGTGCTGATCTACATGTATTTCTCAAAAACCATTTTAACCCTGTGCTGACCTACATGTATTTCTCAAAAACCTACATGTCTATATATGTATACATATATATATATGTATATATGTGTATATACGTGTACGTCTAACTATCTTTCCGAACTCAGGGTAAGAGGAAGCACATCCGTTCAACAGGAACACAACACTTGGTGTGAAATTCCGTTTACAGTCTCTCGTTGCATCAATCAAAATACGTGACGGAATGAAACCGTGAAAGCCAAACAGGCTAAAACACACAACATAAAAAGACAACGCACAAAAACATCAATGTGCAGGCTGGGTCCAAACAGCAGGTCTTGCGATCTTAGAACTTTTTCGGTCGCAGTTTGATATGCTCTTCCAAATGCAAAGCAAAAGTTCGAGTCCTGAGAGACGCTTCGCAGGTCAATTCTCGCGCGGTTAGCATTTGTATATACATGTAAACAGATAGATAGAAAGATAGATAGATGTATATACATATAGAAACAAGTACGTACTTACTTACTGACTTACACACATACATATACATGTACATAAACATCTACATGTACATATACGCGCATACGTATAAACATACATGTACATATACATCTACATGTACATATATGTATGCATTTACACGTACATATACATATACACGTACATATACATATACACATGCACATACCCATACACATACAGATACAGATACACTTACACACACATACACATATACAAACATACACACATACATGCATACACACACATACACATACACATACACATGCACATGCAGATACACATAAACGTACACACGCATACATACATATACATACACATACACATACACGTACACATACACATAAACATACAGATACAGATACATGTACATGTGCATATACATATACATATTTTCTAGCGAACGCAGTGAGCTCCCAACAGAACCGGGTAATTAATTTGATCAGTCATAAAGCCAAGAAGTATCTGCAAACATGCGGCTCAAAACAGCAGCACCACGTCAACTATGATGAGATTACCTCGAGTATTACCCGGAGAGGCTGAAAGCCTTGGTGCGCCATCATCTGGAACTGAAAAGGATCTAGCCTTTGAAGAGCCTGTGCGTTTAACAATCTTGGGATGGGCATGGTTGTCGGGTTTGAACACGGCTATGGAACCAGCTGTGTGTTTGTATGCGTCAGCATATGTCTCCAGCAACCAGTCAGATTTTGGGCGACCCATCCCTCCTTGTCGAAGTGCTCAAAATCACTGGCGTGTTTCCTGGTACGTCCGCTGATTTGCTTGCTCTCTGTCTACAAATGTGGGAGGCTCTCCTAGGATGCGTCTCAGGCTTGTGTTTTGAAATAAATTTAGTTTAGAGATTCTTGCGTTCGTCAGTTGTATACTTTCAAGCCCATAGATCTTACGATCGCATTGAACAGTTGCAGCTCCCACTTGAGTGATGAGTTCGCCTTTTTCCAAGGTACCTTAAGTCGATTGCACGTCGCTCTACAATCTCCCAGTCTGTTGGCTATTTCCGCCTTATTGTCAAATGTGTCAGGGAGCAAAGTGCCTACGCATGCGGCTGATCTCTGTCTTGGACAAGTCTACCATCGGGTGAGAAACATACTGATGAAACTCCTTGGTTTGCTGTAAGATTCACGCAGTTCCCATAATTCGCTTCAACCCATTGTCCGCACGTTGCGTTTCAATTGCATTTAATCGCTTGGTGATACACCGCGTGTTAGCTCCAAATACTTGCACATCTTCTGCAAACAGGATATCAGACAAGTAGATACCATGTATGGGCTGGAATTGTTTTGGTGTGCACAGTTCTATGTTAATGTTCGCGAACAGAGGACGCAAACAAGTACGGTGAAAGAGGACATCCCTGCCTTATGTCCGAATATTGGCATTCTCCCGATCCAACAGAATGAGAATACTAGCAATTCTTGACTTCTCCGAAATATCTTGTCATCTGCGAGCCATCAATATTGCATCAGAGGTGCTTTTATATATGTTTCTGGAATCCAAGTTGCGTGGTCACTAACCACGAGTCCAGTCCCGTGTCCAATTTTCCTTATAGAACCAATGCTGTGACGATTTTGTAACATGCATTAAGTAAAGATATGGGCCGGTAATTTTCAAACTTTGATGCATCCCCTTTCTTGAAATTCGATTCTAAAACTGCTTGCATAAGGTGATTTGTTTTTCCATTTCTCCCTTTGCTAAACAGACGTTCCCCGCATCTAGTACTACGCTTCTGTTTGGCACATCCAACCGCTTGAAGAGTTCGCCTGGGAGTTGTTCTTGATTCTGTTAAAGGTATATTCTAGCTGAGTGATTGTGCAAGGAGAAACGTCTACTTTCTAGGAGCCGTTTTGAAGTGCAATGTTTTCCCGCAATACCTGATCAACATCAAAATCCGGTGCTTTCCCTTGTACCTTTTCGAGGTATTCGGCTGCTTTACTGGCATAGTCTTGAAATGGGATATGGTTGCCAGCTATATCTTCGAACTTAGTGAACGGTTGACTAAATTTTGCTCTGAGCTTCCTGGGCCTCTTCCAGTTGTAGCCTTGAACTGTGCTTTCTCCGAGCTGTAGGAGGTCATTCTCTCTGTCTTGCTGTGCTTGCTTTTTGATTTTTTACTGATGTCATCTGCAGTCTAGGTTACCATCGTCGGCATTTTTTCGGACTGAAACATTGTAGTTTGCTAGCTGCTGTGTGAAGCCGTATGATGTCTGTACTGTCTCTCAAAATGTCTTTTGGTGTCAGCCTTCGATTTGAAACGAGCATTTGCTATCATCAGCTTGTGGTCTGTTTCCACAGTGTGTACAACAGTTGCGGTGATGTTTGTGACTGCATTTTTCCACTTCCAACTTATGAGGAAATAGTCCGTTTGAGCGAACTTTTGCAAATGCCAACCGAGGCTTCCATTCTTTCACCCCGACTGCTTTATATGCAACTAACTGCTCATCTGATTTCTGAAAGTAGGTGTTCGTAGCTAATATTTCATGTGAAAGACAGAACTCCGCGAATTTTAATCGGTTCTGAAACTGTGCGTCACTCAATTCGCTGAGCTCGTTACCGAGCTTACCTGATGCATGGGCCCCTTCTTTCATTCGCTCTGCTGTCTTTTTTTGACGAAAACTGAGATGATCGAACGGCAATACATGTACATGCGCGATGTTTTGACCGCAGACCGCTTTCGACAAAACTGCAGAAATCCGTCCGACGATGCAGGTCCAGAGGTTGCAGGTCTCACAAACATGGCAGGCGGGGTCCATATCCGTCCCTGCTGGCTTCACAAGCAGGAACCATGCCGAAGGCTAGGCTAGGTAGCTCCCATATATATATATATATATATATATATACATACCTCGCGCGCTTCCTTGTGAGGCCTGGTGCGGCTCTTCAGCCTTGTTGCGGCGGCTGGCCACACGGCACTCTTTTGGTGCCCATCCAATGTGCTGACATAACAGGAACGAGATCTGACAACGGCCATCTATAGAACATCCCGACGGGTCAGATTTGCTGTATCTTACATCCGGCTGATTTGCGAGGACAGTCGAGTCTATGAAATCAGCTGTTCTAGCATGGCATCGATTTCAGCCGAAACCTCACTCGGGACAGCCGCCGTGACCTGCAAACTCGTGGGTGGGAACGGGGCATGTCGCCAGAGGATGAAAATGCCTGGAAACTACCCATTATAAGGGTCCGTCTAGGGATGCACCCGCCAAGAACGCATGCGCCTGCTTTGAGGAGACCGGGCCAGAAGCTCGAGTGACTCGAGTTAGAGTTCGAAGGTTTAGAATTAGGGTTTTGCGCCTAGCTTTGATGCCCACCGACCTGCTCTACCTTGATCCTGGGCAGTGTCTCCGTCAGGAGCCGCCGCGTGAGCACGTTGGCCTGCTCGAAGTGATCGAAGGCAGCGGCAAACGGCTTCTCATCGGTATCACGTGGGACATATGTCACCAGTCGCCACCACTCGGAGACTCCGGGGATTGCTTCGGTCGAGGTGTTGGTGCTGGAATCTTCGGAATCTTGCTGGAGGAGCCAGGGTGTTCGAATTGAAACTTTAGGAAGCGGATTCCAGCTTTCCACTTCATCTGTGAACTCGTTCCAACCCTTCTCTGCGGTCCTACCAGCTTCCTGTATACCTGATCCAAGATGGTCGATGGTATGCTCGATTCCTTGGCTGGCAGCCGTCAGCGCTTCGTTCGCGACCGCGGAACCCTCGCCTGCCACACCGGCCACAAAGTCACCGAAGTCCTGCGCTAAGTCCTCTGCTCCTGATACATCCACCTCGAACTCCACACTGGCGCAAACACCCACCACCAGCACCCCGCAGGCCTCTCCACCAACTTTGATCGAACCATCATTGTAGCTGCCTCTCACATCACCTGAACCGCCGGCTGCCGCACCGACCATCACGGAACCGCCAACTTTGCCACTGACATGTTCATTTCCCACCTGAGCATCAGCAGAGGCCTTGGCATAGGCACCTGCGTATGCTTTTGCTTTTGCTGCACATCCCTTCTTGGTGGTGCAGCCTGCCTCTGCCTCCGCCTTGGCAACGACACCCGCCTCCACCGCCGCAGTGTAGTCAGCGGTGACCCCGTAGCCTAGATCCTGGGTCACCTGAGGCTGGACTTATTGCAAGATGCAAAACCTCAGCCAGACGGGCCAAACCAAGTTGAACCCCAAGTGGGAATGTTCTTCGAAGCGAAATTTGGGCGCGAATTTGGCCTTGGTTTCAGCGCGAACCTTTGCGCCCGCACTGGCGGAGGCCGTGACAGCGCAGCCCTGCACTTGACGACTGCAGCCAGCGGTAGCGCTTGCTTCGCCAAACACCTCGGTCTCCGCCTGCGCTTCCAACCAAGCTTGTCATCGCCAAACACATGTGTTCACCCCTTGCGTGGTGGCCTGAATTCCCGAAGAACCACCAGCCCTATACATCGCCCGATCACAATACACATGCGCGGATTGGTAGTATCACCACATTCGGCTTCGACTGAAATTTACCTGCGCCTACGATTAATGTGAGGGTCGGATTATGGTGTGTTACCCCCCCCCCCAATAATATTTTTTTCGCGTGAGTTATTCCGGCCCGATGATTGTTTGGGGGTACCCCAATAGGCAAAAACTTTCGCCGTGATTCCGGGGCTGGAAATGTTTGGGGTACCCCAATAAGGGAGAACATTTTTGCCACCCCAGATACTTCAGGAGAAACTATTGATATTATGGGGTACCACCAAAACCAATAAATATGATTGAGTCCTGCCTTCGGGCTTTGGGTTTGGACTGCCGAGGCTGCTCAATGCTCAGATACCTCAGGACAAATATGTTGATACCATTGGGTATCACCAAAACTAATTAATGGAATTGAGGCCGGAGAAATGCTTGTAATTAATGTTGGCCCCTGCCGAATTTGGTTTTCTTTATTGGGGGGGCCCTAATCCAATTTTCCACAAAACCGGAGCATTGAGCAGCCTCGCTTTGGAAGCCTCATGCTACGTGCTTTCTTGCTGTTACCGATGGGAAATGGCAACAGAGAGGATTGGACCAAACTTTGCCGGGCAAGCTGCTCCTCCAAATCTGGTCCAATCCTCCCCTTATTTGCTCGTGGCTTGGAACCAAAGGATAAGGAGAAGTGAACACACATACCGAGAATTGGGCCAAATTTTGCCGGCGAGCTCTTTTCGGAACCTTGGTCATATCGCGATGTTTTGGATACCGACGTGAAATCACAGCAGAGAGGATTGGACCAAAGTTTGCCGGCTGGCTGTTCCCGGAACTTTGGTAGCCTCATGCTGTTGGCTTTCTTGCTGTTACCGATGGGAAATGACAACAGAGAGAATTGGACCAATAAGGATTCTTAAAATTTTGATGGTTGTCTAATTTTTCCCAAGACCCATATATATATATATATATATGCTCACACCCCCCCCGAAGACCTACCGCGAGGTGCTTCGGCTAGCAATGGGTAGTAGAACATGTAAGGATTTGAGGAAACCATTAGGATAAAATACACTCATACATAAACAATGGACACATATATCGTGTATAATCAATAGCTGAATACACTGTAATGACCTACGACGGCGCGACATCGCCGTTGGCGGATTTGAGCAAGCTTCAATGCCTGCAATTGTTTAATAGGATACTGCCTAAATGTTCCGGATATTCATAACTCTGGTCATATAGTGACCATAGGCATAACCCGAAGACAGGACCAAGACAGAACAGTGTCTGCATCCTACGTAAGATCGTTAGATGTGCCGGGTAACTTTGTGTTTGTCATTGTCTGTTTTTAATTTTGTTCATGTACTCATAAGCATAACCCAAAGACGGGACCAAAACAGAACGATGTGTGCATCCTACCTAGGATCGTAATGAGGGTTACATGTGCACACATGTTTATTCTGTGTGAAGCTCTTAGGTTACTCATGCGCCAATGTGTATAATAGCTATTACTAGTGCGAATACTAATACTGATACTAAGATTTCTATTCCTACGAATAAGGATATTACTGTTCATAACATAATAGGCTTAATGGTTAATACTAGTATTAAAAATTACACTACTAATTCGAATAGTAGTGCTGATGGGAATATTAACACTCCTGGGGATACTAATACGCATATTCTTATTAGCTGTTCTCAATATGAATACTAACAGTACTAGTTGTTTGGAATACTAATACTTGTCCGAATAATCATACCAATACTCAGGCTACTGCGATTATACATAATAGGACATTAGTATGGGTATTCGTATTAAGGTCAGCATTTCCTTCGAAAGTATTCATATGCGCATCATAATTCATCTTAATACTCGTACGGATATGAATTAGTATGATTACAAATACTTTTACGAAGACGGGTACTTTCAGTAATACCGATACTAATATGAATACTAGTGTTCCTACGAATATTAAATAAAAAACATACCCATACTGATAGTAATTTTAGTATTTATTTGTTACCAATATACACGCAAATGCTAACATTAATACAAATATGCACATAAGTGATACAGTTCCTCCGCAGAGTAATGCGCATAATCTTATTAATTGTTCTCAGTAGTTATATTCACATTAAAAAACCTACACTAACATGAATAGCAGTATTACCACTTGATACTCCAGCTAGTACGAGTATGCATAGTATGAACAGCGATACTGCTATTGATACCAATATTAATGCTCCTACGAATACTAATAATCACGTTCAAACCAAATACAAAAAACAGACACATCAATGTACCAAAGAATCTGTATTTTCACATACCAATAAATAATATGTATACCACTATTCCAATGTTACCATAGACTTACAAATACAGAATATACTGATATGAGACTATACACTGGTTAATATTAACGCTAAGAATAAGGCAGAGACTAAGACCAAGACTAATACGAATACTAAAACTCACACTAGACATTAACACTACCATTAGTACACCTATTGTATAGACTTATATTCAGACTAGTACTAACGCTGACATTGGAATTGACATTGACACTGACGCCAACACTAACAGTAACACTAATCAACACGCTAGAACGCAGATACTAATACTAACACTAATGCCTAATGCAAATCTGAAGACTACTGCGCGTAAACAACGAAACCATTTCCGATCAAGCATGCTGCGCGCTGTATTGGCTCTAAGGCTCCGAGAACCAAAAATCCAAAAAAACAAAAATCCAAAACCTTTGTCAGGGGGGTCGAAACTTTTGGATTTTTTGGTTTTCCTAAGGTTTTTTTGGTTTTCCAACAGAAAACCAAAAAAATCCAAGGTTTTTTTGGTTTTCCAGCAGAAATCCAAAAAAATCCAAGGTTTTTTTGGTTTTCCAGCAGAAATCCAAAAAAACACAGGTGTTTTTTGGTTTTTCACGAGAGACACAGCAGAAAAACAAAAAAAACCTTGTGTTTTTTTGGTTTTCCACCGAAAATCCAAAAAAAGCCATGGTTTCGCCAAGGCAAAGCCCAAAAAACAAAAAAAGACCTAGGACAACCAAAAAATCCAGAAGTTTCGGGCGCCTCAGAAAGGCTTTGGATTTTTGGATTTTTGGATTTTTGGTTTTTTGGTTTCCGCCGTCATATCGTATGGTTTCTTTAATGTTTCTTGCTTATGAATACAGGCATATGAATTTGAAAGAGGACACGAGTAGGCACGACGTTGTAAAGAGACATGACTTCACATCAGCCATGATAGAGAAGGTATCATCCCCGAAAATTACGCAAAACACGAATCGTATGCCAAACGCGAATCCCTGCCAAGAGAAGGTTTTGACGGTATTTACAATGGAAAAGAGGCCGAGGTAGGTCATGGGGGGGGGGGGGGTGTCCATATATATATATATATATATATGTTAGGGATCTAAAAATGTTAAGGCCATTACATGTGTTTAAATCCTCAAAGCTTAAGTGGGCCAGCCAATGAAGGTTTATGGATTGTAAGGATGATAGAAAATTTTAATGGTGGTCTAACTTGTCCAAAAGCTGCCTCTTGTGTATATAAGAGGGATTTAGAGTGGGTTTTCCACACTAATACACACAAGGCAGCTTTCAAACAAACCCGGTTTAAGCCGCACACGGGTGGGGCGCACTAATCAGACCCTCACATTAATTCGGAGAGAGCAAAAAGCGCAGAAAAACAAGCGGAGACATGGTCTAGAAAATCCAACCATCCGCAGCTGAATTAATTACGTTTGTCAACTCCCACCTTGACAGTAATGATTACGCCATCGCCTTCGTAGACCGTGTCCTCCACCGTAACACGAACGGCGGCTCCAACGCTGGCGCAAACACCCTCCTCGCAGGCACCCAGCTCGTACTGAAACTCGCCTTCCAACGACCTTGCTTGTTCCGCTGTGTGTGTTTGTAATCTGCCAGTTATGGAGAGTTGCAAAACGGATTGTTGTCGGATTTCACGAAACCCCGGCAGAAATCCAGGTCACCTGAGGCACACCATCATCGGCAAACTACTGGTGTTTGAGACTTTGGTGTGGGCTACTCCGATGTGCAAATGAAACTTTCGGCCCTTACGTGAACAAATCCGACGAATCTCCGGCATTGCTTGACCTGCCCAGGCGCACCGTGCCAAACTCGGTCTCAGCCTCTGCCCACTTGGCGACTTCAGTGCTCTGGTAGCCAAAGCTTCTGCCGCGTTTGCCCTGCCTCTTCCTTTCCTTCAAATCGTCCTTGGCCATGGTGTCCAAGTCTCTGGCCGTTCGGTCGATGTCAGCATCCGAGGGCGCGTCCGCAGCACGGAAGTTGTGAGACCCTCGAGTACGGCGGGGATAGTTGGGATCCTGCCTTGGATCGGTGCCATTGTCAAGCGAAAGAAACCGCCAGAAGTCTACAAGTAGCGGTAGCTCGCTCTATCGCTCTAACTGAGAGTTGACTGTTGTGGGATCCTGCCTGGGATCCTGGGATGTCTGATCTGTTGCCGGCCACCGATTCTGCTCGTCGTTGTACATCTTCTCGTTTAATGCGCGGTACTTGGCTGCGTTGACCTGCGAATGTGAGGCAGCAGTGACGGGGCTTTGTCCCTTCTTCGAGCATTGCGTTACGGCTTCTCTGTGGCTTCTGTCGAACTCTTATGTGTCCCAATGATGTGCCGCATGGCCTGGCCTTGGCATGCTCGTTGATGACCCTCTTGCGGATGTCGATGAGCCGCTGCCGTCGGTCAATCTCCCTCTGCGCCTCTGCGGCCTTCGCCTCCAAGGGTCGCCGCGTCTGCTCGAGCTGGCTGGCCTGCCTGGGCCAGGGGCCACGGTCGGGAAATAGAAGGAACTTCCCTAAGGGCCCAAGAGTCAAAGGCACGTCAAGGCCGAAAAAAAGCCTGGCTGCCGTTCGTAGAAATCACGTTCGGCGCTACCGGCGTTGGACCGCATCATTTGCTGCCTGCTAAGATCTTCATAGGTCTGCAGCTGCGAAGCAGGCGTTTCTGAACAAGGGACTCTTGAGGGCACCTGTTCACAAGACTTGGGAAGTGCCTGGGCTGTTCTGGAAGACGGTCGCAAGGTCGGTTTGCATGATGATCCAATCGGGGCAATCTCTGCAGTACCCCCAGTCCAGCCTTCCATCCTGCTTCTCAGTGAATCCGGATACGAGGCAATAAGGATGCCTGAAATTCTCCCGGTCCTTCTTATCTGGAGCGCACTGCCCCAGAGGATGCGTGAGGGAACACAGACTGGGATAGTCAACTGCGGCTCGGCAAGGACACAGTCGCTGCCAGGTCTCGTCTCCGAATTTTGACGTGCAACTGGGCTGCGATTGCGATCTGTAGATGCACGCGTTTGCTGAATGTACTCCTGGTGCACCTTCTCCCCCCCACCAAGAGCTTGCATCATAGTCTTTATTCTTTGGCGTGCAGGTCACCCCGGCTACGGATGTAGCAATGTTTTGAACTTTCGCTGCCGTGTTAACTGCATCCCACATGTCATCCGCGCAGGTGCGCCAAATCGCGCTGCAAGCTTCAGTGCACGACTGGCCAAAGTCGGCCAGATGCCAGGACTCCGCATTGAACTGTGGCATCTCGTCAAAGCGGGGTTGGTTTGGCGGCTTCCAAGGACTCGGCTGGGACCCATCCTCAAGGGTTGAAAATGCGCACTTGGTGGCGATGGCTTCTGGTGGACAAGGTCTGCAGTAGCCCCAGTCAGCATCTCCTAAGCCCTTGCTGGCGATACCGCGACGCAAACAATACGGCTGATGGGAGTTCGGAGGGATGTGGCAGCTGCCGAATGAAAGACCATCGTCTTCGGAGCATTGCTCCGTTGGTTGCGTCGCAGGTGGTGGAACAGAAAACAAGACTGCCCACCTGGAGGACTTCGGTCTTTCAGCATGTGGGAGGTTCCTACACAAAAGAGCCCTGAAGCGCATAACTGCAAACACTTACTGGAGCCCTGTTTCAGAAACGCTCCACGAATCCGTGCGAACCGAAGGCTGTGTGCCATCTGCCAGGGTCGGAAAGGCGCACATAGCGACCTCGCAGCAGTAAACCCTACTGTAACAGCACCAACCAACAGAACTCCATAAGATGTACCGTTCGTCAGGCATTTCGGTAGATTGGTCCGATGCACTGGAAAAGTTATGTCAGTTTCCGATCATTCGCTGCTTAGGCTATGCTACTGTGTGCAGATTGCAGATATGCGTGCAATACGCATCTTCTTGCAGCCAAGCGCCAAAGGCTCGACCACGAAAATTTTTCCTGTCGACTTGTCGCGTATGATCGTTGGATCTGTCCCCAACTTGTCGCAGCCCCACTCAGGAAGAATGCTGCCCACTTGATAGTCGCACTCGATGCCAGATCGTTGCTCGGCCCAGACCGTACTATCCCCAAAGTCTCTGCCACACTGCGTAGGGGCTGTGACGTGATGAATGATGCCCATGTCTCCTCGTGTCGCAGAAAATTCCATCACAACGAAAACGGTTTCCTTTGATATCCCTAGATGCACAGATTCCTGCTGCGTACGCCGTTTTCCAACAGCTTCCGATTTGAGTGTTGACCGGGGTATCTCGCATGCATCATGCATGTCGTGCCGACATAAGCTTTCACGCAGCAGTCATATATGATGCAGGGCTGCCACACCCCCCCTCCCCCCCCACCCCATGGTATCCTCCCCCTTCCCCCCCGCCCCCCTGTGGTGTGGGGCCTGTTGTGGTACTCTTTTTGCCGCGACGTTCTTATGTGTCACTCCTTGTCTTCCCTCTTGCTGTGGCACCGGTGATACTGCTCATGATGTTGTGCTGCTCTAGACCGGGACATGAGTCGACAATCAGACCATGCTCAACATCATCCTTGTCGTCGTCATCTTCATCATTAATACCTCAAAAGAATATCTGCCACCATCACCATCACCATTCAACCCTCATAATTCAGCATTGCAATTCATGTCAGATGCTGGAAATTACTGTGCCGATTGCCGCTTTTCCGCACACGGCAGGGCATAGCGCGACACTCCCGATCCGCGCACAAGGTCAAAGGGCGGGCAAGGTGCGGGCCGGGCGGGCCGGGGCTGGCAGGGCGGGTGCAGCAACAGACCAGCAGGGGACAAGGGGGTGGGGGGGGATACCATTGGGGGGGGGGGTTAAACACTGCATGTTACACATCCAGGTGCCTGTCTGTTTCACGTATCACTTGCATGTATCCATGCCTGTTGCTCAAGGTTCTAGTGCAGTGGACTACAGTTGTGCGCCTGTAGCAAAAGAGACACCTGAGTGCCTGTGTTCCTGTACGCCTAGCGAGGGGATACACGTCCAGGTTACATCTCAACGTGGTAGCGGAGCTCCCGGGAAACGGGAAGCTTCACACTTGTGGAGGTACCCGTTCGGTACTCTCTACACAGGTGGAGGCAACCGGAATACCCGGTGTGCTTCACTCAAGTGAAGGTGACCGGAATCTCTCCGGCACACTTCACTCAGGTGAAGATAACCGGAAGAGTTTTCTCCCGGGCCTCGATCCAAGAACAGCGCAATGGCTAGCCACTCTGCGACTATCTTTGAGCATGATGGAGGAGATGAAGATTACCTCCTTCACGGCAATGAATCTTTCGCGACTAATCATCGTCATCTCAATGAACTACACCGTCTTTCAGCTTTCCAGCAGGTGTCCACCAAAGTACCTCCATCTTATGATGGTAGAAGTAGTTGGTTTGCCTACGAAGATGCGATCGATGACTGGTGTGACATTACTGAGCTAGCCAATGATAAGCGTGGACCAGCTTTGAGAAATCGGCTAGAAGGTGAAGCAGCAATCCACAAGAGGCTTCTCGACAGAGATCACCTGAAGGACCCAACCAACGGAGTGAAGTACTTCAAGAGCTTCCTGCGGCCGCTCTTCGTGAAGGGAGCAGCGAATGTCTTTCTCTACCGCTTCCAGCAGTTCATGAACATGCACCGCGGGAATGGAGACATGCTTCGTTGGATTACCAGGTTTCAACTCTCTGTTCAGAGAATGCAAGAAGCGTGGAATGACACCTATCTGCCGATCGTGGACCCGAACAATGCAGAGGTCAGAGCCTTCACAGCAGGACTTCCACCAGAAGAACAAGAAGGACTCACGCCAGAGCAGGCAATGGAAAGAGCCAACGACCGGCTCAGAGATCAGCATGCTCGGACCATTCCGATCACAGCCAATCTCGTTGCTTTGATTTTTGTCTCGTTGTCCGACTTGACGCAGGATCAGCGGCAGGTGTTGACATCGCTGATGGCGCATCGGAACCGAGTCTTAGCTGACTACAATGTGACCGAGCTGCGTGAGGTCTACCTTGAGATCTTCTGCACGACCAAGACTACCGTCGACAATCCTCTCCTCGCTCCTTCCGGCCACGGTGGCCGCAAGACGTTCCTTGTGATCGACGAGGGATACTTGAACGATCATGAAGGCTACTGGGTCGAGGACGAGGAAGATGGCACAGAGGGTTTCCTTGAAGCAGATGAGGACGCCTTCTGGGTCTACGACGAAGAGAATTACTCATGGTTCCAGCGGCGTTTCCAAGGCCGCAAGATGAGGCGCGGATTCAGGGCCACCGCAAAGGCAAGGGAAAAGGTGGCAAGGGATCCAAGGGAAGGCGCAAAGGCACGTCCAATCTTGCCGAAGAATCAGAAGCATGGCAAGCAGAAGGACAATGGCAAGATTACCAGTGGAACGATCAGTCCTGGGATGACTGGTCCTGGTATGAGTCTGAGGAGTCCTATGCAGCCAAAGGAAAAGGAAAGAAAGGAAAGAAGGGCAAAGGAAAGAGCAAGTTTGGCAAAGATGGAAAGGATGGAAAGTCCGGAAAGGACGGACAAGCCCAGCTTGCTGATGCTGCCCAGAGCGACACCACAGCCGCCACAACCTTCTTCGTTGAGCATTTCAACTCTCCGAACCTTTCTTTCATGGCCACCGAAGAGAAGATCAATGAGATCGAAGAAGCCTTCATCTCTCAGCCCTTGACGCCGACCGCGATGGTGTTGGACTTGGGACGCACGAGAGCAATGGCTTCGAGAGTGGCCGCACAGGACCTCATGGAGTTCTGTGACAAGAATAAGAACTGTGGCATTTGGTACACAATAGCTGAGACCACTTCTCAGTTCACCTTTGCCAATTCCGAGTCGACCAAGTGCAACCAGAAGTTGGTCATTTGCATGTACGACCGGGATTATGCAGTTCAATCCACCGAGTTCGACATTGTGGAACAAGGGCATGTTCCCATTCTCATGTCCTTACCTCAGATGCGCAATCTTCGTTTCCAGTTTGAACTCCATCCGGAAAAGGCCTTGCTCAGCAGCCCTGTGCTGGGAATCAAGGATGTGAGGCTGAAGGTTGCACCTAGCTCACACCTGGTACTTGACCTTCTTGAACTCAGTCAGTTGATGTGGAATGTGCGTTTCAGCAAGCATAAGAAGTCGAGCTTCCTCACCTACTTCTCCCACTACGAGTACGGCTTCCATAAGAAGACCGAGGGATGTTGTTCTCAGGAACAGGTACCCAAGAACCTCGTGTTGGCGACGGATGATGAGTGGGTGATCAATGAAGCCGACATGGAGATGATTCGCATCCACAAGAAGATGAGAAGAGTCAAGTACGAACCCAAGGCGGGCTTTGTGCCTATTCCGTTGGAGTATCTGGACGACAAGCGCAAGACGATCATGGAGTTCTCCAAGGGAGAGAACGTTACTCAAGAAGATGACTGGCGTTCTTCTGAGCTTTCTTCAACAAGAACTACTGACTCTTGGAAAGGCAAGACCATTTTCAAGATTCTGCCTGGTGGCATCGAGAGTAGAACCTCGGTGCCAGCTAAGTCCAAGGATCCGACCCGTGGAAAGGTAGGATCTCCAGAGGACATGGTTAGCACAGGTAAGCCTGAAGACAGCTCGAAGAACACAGGAGCATCCGGAAGCTTTCCTCAGGGAAAGGTACCGGTAGCGAGAACGATTCGAGCCAAGGGAAGCTTTCCTCAGGGAAAGGAACCTAAGGAACCGGCTCCTCCTCCTCTTGCTCCTGAAGATGATCCGGATCTTCAAGAGTACGAACCGTCCGAACCGGGGGATGCAGAGTTGCTTCCTCCGAGGGCCCCAGAGGCACAGTCGCTAGAACCTAGGAGGATCGCGCTTCCATTGCCAGGCCACGAGGTCTCAAGGGCTTCTCCGCAGTATCAGCGCATGTTGGAAAAGCTGAACAATGATGTTGAGCTTTACAAGTTGCATGTGAAGCATTCCCACATGAGTCCTGCTCAGTTTCGACGCAGGACCAGCATGCTTGGGCTGCCAGGAGAGATCTATGACAAGTAGGACCGCATTGTCAAAGGCTGTCGTGTTTGTAGCACCTCCGTGCCTACGCCTCCGCGAGCCAGAATTGCAGGGTTGA